ACAGGAGAACATCAGATTCATGTACCTTTTTGTATGTGACTGCTGGTACTAGAGCTTGATCTCAGAGCCTATGTGCTGTTTCTTACTTGTTTCACTCTAGGCTGTCACCCTACCACTTGAGCCATGGCTTCTCTTCCAGGTTTTGGTGGTTAATTAGAGATAAGTGTCTCTTAGGCTTTTCAGCTTGAAAATCTGCAATCCTTAGATCTCAGCCTCTTGACTAGCTAGGATAACAGGTGTGAGCCACAGGTGCTTGCTTACATCAATGTACATCTATATTGAGAAATGGCTTCTTCAAGTTTTGGGTGCTTTCATCTGGATTCTTTTGGAAAGAATTCATGCAGTGGTTTTCCCTAGCAAAAGTCCTCAATTTCTGTAACAGAAGTTTCATATGCTAACAAACTGGTATTGACAGGCATGATAGATGCAGCCTAGTAGTTAGTGGGTGCTGGAGAGCAGAGTTGATTGCATTTTACAGTCTCTGTATTTCTCTGTTTATTGCTTGTATTCTGTCATTAAGCAAACAGGTTCCTAATATAGCAAATCTCTCTAATCAGTAAAGCAAGGGAGAAAAGAACCAGAGCATCATTAATTATGACGATTTGGCCTCAGCCTGGACAGTCTGTTGCTATTGGATTGGGCAGCTTCCTCTGATTTTATTTTCTGGGGGTAGAGCAGAGAACAGCTTTGTTGCTGCATGGAGGAAAGCATGAAAGCATGGAAAGGTTGAGCACCTTGCTCCTGCTAGCCGACAGCTGCCTAAAATCCCCAGATTAAACACCAGCTTCTACAGAAATGGAGTCCTCAGGCCAAGCTCTGCACAGGTGTGCTTTTAAGTCTCCAGTTCCATAAGCAGAGCAAACATGCTGCTTCCAAATCTGACTGGTCCCCAAGGCCCTAGAGAGCCTACTGTGGGAAAAATCCTGTGGGGATCGGACTGTGGCCATAAATTATGTGTGTGCCTGTGTGTTCTGCACAGGAAAGCCATTGGCACCAAGACTGGTTTTCCAAATGCTAATTGCTGGGGTAAAAGGCAGCAAGGCCCCACTGACTCCAGGTAGTAGAGGTTAACAGCGTCTAATGCATTTATTAACCCTCTGGTGCAGGGACTGGTGAGGTCTGGCCTCACAATTACAGTGCCCTGGAAATTCTATTATGTGACGTGCCTAGACTTGCAGATTTCCACCAGTGACAACTTCATAACAGGAAAGCAACAGCTAGCTGGATGGAAAAGGCATTATGAAGAGCCCAAAGAAGATTTTGCTAGTTTTTCAGAATGTAGGAAGACAGACATGAGCATAAGCTCCTCAAGCATGCTTTCTTTGCCTTTTCCCATTCTCAAGAAACAAATCTCAAAGTCCTATGTGGGAGGTGATGTTTCTCCAACACAGATTCAGGCAACTTCTCCTGAACTACACAACTGTAAGAAAGACTCTTTCATAAAAGAAATTAAACACGCTATTTTTATGTATTTGTGTTGGCTGCTTAAATCACCTAATTCATGTTGACTTAGATCAGTGAATGTAGTTTTTTTTAATCTCTTTAATAAAACATATATCACATTTTGAGAAAACCAACTGTAAGGTTTGAGGTCCAGGTAGAGACAGCCTGCTAATCTCTGTATCAGAAGCCTGCATGTCCTGTCATCAGCAGGACCGAGTGTTCATGGAAAAGGCTTCACACCCAATGCTCACAGGTCTGTGACACAGGGTTGGCTTTCCTGGTTTGTAACTCAGCAATGAAAGCTCCTCCTCCAATCGCTAATTTTCCTTACTCCCCATAGAGTCTCAGATGTTGTTGAAGTGTTTTTTTTTTTCCTTTTAATTTTCCTGGAACCATCCTAGTTTTCAGCAAATGAGACAACATTTAAAGTAGGTAAGTACTCTGCAGTCATTGAAGGGGTTGGGAGTGGGGGTGTTACACCCTGTAATTTTATCTATTTCTACTTATCACACCTGACTAGCAAGACAGTGATTGCTTGATAGTATTTTCAAAAATACTGGGGATAAATGCCTTTAAAATGTGGAAATAACAGGTTTCTCCAGCTTCTAGAGTTAGCTTTAAGACCCAGATTCTCTTTCTTAAATACTCTTCATCTGCAGAAGTAGGTTTCTGACCTTCAGTAGTCTCTGGGGTTCACATGGCACACAAACTACTAAACATGTAACTAGCCATCACAGCTCAGAAACCCAGTTCTGCCCCTCCACCTGCACATTTTTAGGATGCTATTTCCTGGAGTTGATGCCCTCCAGTTTAGGCACAGACCCACTATGGTGTGCATCTCACCAGGTGAAGGTTTTAGTAAGATCTTATACCTGTGTGCAATCCTTTGCTCCCTTTATTATGTGTCATGTGCCATTCCTATAGCTGATAATATCACCTTCTCCTCTTCTAGTTAGCATCACAGACAATACAGTGACTTTTGATAGGTTAGGGAGAACCCGGGCGCTATTCTGATCCCTCTACTCAGCACTCATGGTGAGTGGCTTCTGGGGACCCTGAGCTCTCTGGAGGAAGCTTCTTTAATTCTTTCTAGAAGCAGTGTTTAGAGGCTTGCGTGTGCACTGTCTACCTTGTCTGGGTGCTAGGTCGGGAAGGTGGTGAGCAGGAAGAGAGCTTTTACTCAGTATCAGAGGGGTCTGGCTGCACACTGTCACTGGACTGAGCAGCTTATTCAGTAATATCCACCAGGATAGTCCTCAGGCCACATGAGCTCTGGTAACACCAGTGACTGACAGGCCTGTCATATACTTGGAGCTGGTCTAAATACATTTTTCTTGTATGACTGGTTGACTTCGGCCATTCCCAGCAGGAGGGTACATGCCACATGTTCACAGCTTACATCTGGGTGTGTCAACCTGCTGGGAGACTTAGAAATGCTGAATGAAGCCTGAGACAGATGCTCAATGGTTCACAAGGGCCAGAGATCTAGAGCTACAGCCCGAGGCTATGTAAGAATGTTTGGGAGGACAGGGGCCTTTTCAAGTGCAGCTGTTGCAATCACTCCTTTATGACCAGGTTCTTGTAGTGCTGTCTCAGGTTCCTGTGGTAGAGGGAAGTATAACTGGTAATGAACAATGAGCAATGAGCAAAGCCTTCTGGGTTGAATATATAAAATATGCAGGGAGAGATCTGCCTACTTCAATAACCCTTCAATAACAGAGACTACCATGGTCCAGGACACCAAGGTCCAGCTTAGCTGTGTCCATAGGCGTATGAACCACTTGAGGGCTGAAGGCATGTTGTCCTCAGTCCAGAGGGCCTGCTGCCTTCTGTGTGCAATTTGGTGAACATACCAGTTATACAAAGACCCTCAGCAGGAGGTTTGGTCTTTTGTACATTATGGCTTAGGAAAAGAGTAAGCTGAGTAAGATATTTAGGCACTATTTGAATGTCTGGGCTCAATTCCAACCTCCAATAGGAGCAAAACATGTGAATTTCTACATGTTATTCTCTATAGGTAACAATGCAATGGGCCAGATTTGTACTTAATGTAGATTGAAAGTCAAGTGAATTCGATTCTTCTCCCAATTTCCCCTCTGATCTTCTTATATGTAACATTTAGTGACCTTTGAACAACCCAGAATGCTTCTCAGTACCTTATTCTCAAAGCCTGCTTAAAGGTTTCTATTTTATATTCACAGTTGGCATATGCAAATATAGGTAAAGATTATGATGCCTTCCAAGTGGCATTATGGTCAATAAATTACTCTTCTGGGTGAGCATGCCATCATTTCAACCTAGCATGTCTTCAGCGAGTTGCAGAGCACCACAGCAGGCAGGCACCCTGCCAGCACCAGGCACTCTGAGCCAGCCAGTCACTCCGATAGTCCTTGATTCAGGGGTGATGCCTGCCGGGCTCACTTTATGGGCAGGGGAGCTCTCTCTCTCTATTGGAAACATAAGGCTGCCGTGACTAGCGGCGTGATGGGAGTATTGAGTTCTTTGTGTGGATTTGCAGGCGAGACAGGGAGAAACACTGTGATGCCAGAAAGAGTTCATCTACCAGAGGTTTTTGTTACATCCTGGCTCTGCGAGCCAGTTGCCATGCGACTCTGGACCAGTCACTTCTCTGCTGTACATTGTGCAACACAAGAGTGTTGTACTGGGCAGGTCGTTTGCACAGAGAAGCCCCAGAGAGTTGGTCCGCTCAGGAAGCATATAGCTCAACTCCCTCACAACCACCCAGAAGCAGTTTTTAAATTAGCTAGACTGACTCCTCGAGGGTGCTAATCTGAGTCTTGCTCTGCGTCTTACCCCCTTCCCCCTCCCCCACCCGCTCACCATCCAAGAATGGTTTTCTCATTAGCAGGGAGCTCTCAGAGCCAAAGGACCACTCCTTTCTTTCCCCACCGTGTGCCCACATTTGGGAAACAGTAGGAGCTCCATCGGGTACTATGTGTTGCCTGGAGCAATGAATACACACATGAACAAACAAACAAGCTTCCCGGAGACTCTGTCTATATTACCAAGCTGTGGGGATTTGTACTGCCACGTTTGTAAGCAGAAGGAGGTGCTTCCTCAAAATTAGCATTCTGACATAGAAATGGGGTCCCCTCTTTTTGAACTGTTTCTTTCATAACCTCGCCCTGCCCTCTGTGTCTCCACTGGAGCCTGAGTGACAGGTAGCTGCTACTGAACCTTAAGATGCAGCAGGTCTGAATGGAGACATGCCATGGCAAACACCAGATTCTGAAGACTTTGTATGGGGGTGGGGGAGGAGGGAGGAAGAAAAGAATATGAAAGTATCTCATTAATTTTTTATATTGATTACCTGTTGAGATGGCACTATGGTAGGTTAAATAAAATATATTATTAAAATTGACTTCACCTGTTATCTCTCTATTAGGTGGCTACTAGAATACTGTAAATTACAGAGGAGCTCAGTCACAGCTCCCATATTTATTGGCTGGCAGAGCCTCGCACCGCTGATTAATGACCATCAGTAATCACTCTTCACTGTTGTGTATGAGCTTTTTTTCCCCCTTGTCTCTCTGCAGGCACAGAAGCTGAAATCCAACATGTCTGGCAGTACACACCTCTGTCTTTCTGACGTAAGTGATGTTTTAATTTTTTTGGGGGGGGAGGAAGTTTCCTGTCTTTATAGAGACATAGCTTTGAGGCCCTGAGGGAAGGTAAGATGTCATTCAAGGCTCAAAGGCAATAAGTTTCAAGAGCAGAAGAAAGCAAAACACCCTCTCTATCTATTTGGTTTTGGAGAAAGGTGCAATTTGAATTCAGTGCACAGATGTTAGAAATGTGAAACTGGGGAATTCCGTCAAGGAGCCAAGCAGGCCCTAAGCCCACTTGGGCTCTGTGAGCACAGTCATGTAAAAATCACCCAGCACTGAGAGCATGCGCAGCAGAAGTCTCTGCTGACTGCCAGTGCCCTCTCTGTAGCAGCTCTGACGCCCCCCGCGAACCACAGGTGGATGAGGTGGGTGCAGCCCGCTCCCCAGTTCACAGCTGGTGAGATGGTGAGTTGTGCCATGCACTGTCCCTCTCGGCACTTCCAGGAGTAGAGATTCAGCCAGTGTGGTGAAGGAGTAGAGAAGTCCATCATGGGGCAGGCCAGTCATGCAGCTGGGGAGCCTTCAGCCTGGTTTCTGGGTGAGACTGCCCCTTGAAGAGCTGGACAGAGCCCCCTTTCTCTTTCTGGGTCTTTATTCACACAGTCAGCTGTGGATCTGGTGACACATACAGGGAACAATGACTGACTGACAGACTCATTGCCACATGAGCTCTGTGTCCTTTGTCTGGACAAGCTTTCTGAGGTAGTTGCTCCTGACCTCCTCCCCTGGTGGGACGAGAACAGGAGAACACCCTCTCGGCCAGTGAGAGGTCTTCCATGGTGCACATCTGTGGAAAGAGAAAGAAGAGCAGGGGATACCCAAGCTCTACTAATCCCCCCCAAAAAAGGTGGGTTTTAATCATCTATGATGAAGGAGTAAGCAGCAAGTAATGGCCAGACAATATAACCAAAAGACTGGGTCTCGCTTAAGTTCATTGTTCCTTCTCGTAAGACTGTGAGTCGGTGAGTTCAAGTCTCGGTGGTAATCTTGAGCCAGCTTTGGGGAGGGGGTCTTTGAGATGGGAGTGGGGTGGGCAGGTTGAATACACTGCGATGGAGAGGCTATGTGCAGGAGATGACGATGGAAACATTTTCCCCCCCTTCCAGCGCGATTATGAAAAGGATGGCCTCGCTGGTGCTTCCAGCCACATAACCACAAAATCGATGGCTGCTGCTCCTGGCTGTGGTCTGAGCTCACTGCTGGTTCTGGTGGTAACCGCTCTGTCCACCCTGTTATCTTTATCCTGGGCGGAAACATCGTAGCTGCATTGGAAACACAGTATGGACATGTAAAAAAAAAAAAAGACAAAAACCAAGTAATCTGTTTCCTGTCCTCTTGTATATCTGAAAATCCAGTTTTAGGAGCTCAGTTGAGAAACAGTTTCATCTAACTGGAACTTTTGTTTTGTTTTGTTTTGAAAGAAAGCTTCTTGTGATCTTAGGGGCTGCTGTGGAAAGGCTGACGTGGGGCTACATTCCAGACTCAACGAGGCTGTGGGGCATGCTGTGTTGTAAGGAAATAATTTGTAAATCAGAGTGTAAAGCAGACCAGGGCCGTGTTTTTGTTTTTTAAATAATGTTGATGGTGGTGAAGATGATGATCATGGGACGATGATGATGATTTTAACAGTTTTAACTCTGGCCTTTATTAGTTAAAGAGTTAGTATTTCTAAAGATTCTTCCATAACTTGTATAATGGGCTTTGATTTGTAATTATGTAAACTGTAACCTAATGTGAATTACAAGCTTTGTTGTTGTTGTTGTTTTTTTAACCACGAAGTGAAGAAGGTTCTCCTGGACTTTGTGGAAAAAGCTTGTACTAATGTTCACCTTTCTACGTGTATTTTCCACATTAATGTTTATGTACTATAAACAGCTCTGCGTGCCCTCCTCAAAACAGAACAGAAGCACCACCTGCCATATCCAAGCATAATCTATCTTAGTCAAATAGAGACCTGTTCATCGGTTGACAGTTTTCCTGAGCCTTACCTGAGCGAGAAGCCCTTCTCTAACCAACAGGAGTCGTGCGTAGCTGAAGTCTAATTGTCATGCTCTTTACACTTACGAAGTTATATGTAGGGGAAACAATTTTTACTACATTTCAACTATTGGCTTTCTATACTTTGAAAGCAATGATGGTATCTTCATTTTTTTTTACTGGTTTCATACAAAATATGTAGAGCTTGTTTTCCTCTCATAAGTAGCTCTGGCTCCAATATTAACTTCACAAATACAGCTCTTCAAGCATAGCCCCTGAGGAGCCTCTGTGTGCCAGCAGAAAGCTCTGCATCGCTTTGTGTGGACAGACAGGGAGGAAACAGAGCAACCAGGCACTGTCTTTTATCATGTCTTGAAATGCAACTGTGTGTAGGTGTGGAACTGCCGGCCGCTTGTGAAGGCTCTGCAGTCTAAAGACACCCTGGCCAGTTGACAACTCAGTACCTTCGTTCCTGTGTTACCTGCCACAGGCAGCTTTGGTTGAGACAAGGGGCAGGGGAGAGGGGGTGGGGCGGGCATGTGCTACCTAGTCATTCACAGTTGATCCCTGCTACATGTAGTACACGGTTGCTTTCCTAAGGGGTGCCTGGCTTGTGGCCACTCTTTAGAGCAGTTTGGTCTACAGATCGACAAGAATCCGCCTGCTTCTTGTTCTGGGCCTTCCATGACGGACAGGCTGTGACTGCAGAAGGCAACGAAGAAAGTTTCTGGATGGAGAAGGTTGGCATGAGGTCTGGGGATGCAAGTGGATTGACCCAGATACACAGAATGGGGTATTCAGGACTTGGATAAGCCATCTGGCTTTATTAGCTGCATACCATCTCCCTTTGCTCTCATTCTTAACTGCACGGACCCTAGAGTGCACTTTGAGGTCTGGTTTTAGATTGTGAGATTCAGGATTGTCACCAATGGCCTATGCAATGGTGGAGTGGGCACTGGGTTTGTCCCACACTGAACAAAGAAGAGGAGAGGGTCTCCCTCTGTAGGGTTTTGGAAACACGAGCCTTCTTCCCACGTGCTCAGGGCTGGAGTGAAGATCTCCGTGCACGTGCTGGACAAACCCCCTTTGCCTGTTGAGGTTTATCTTGGAAGATCTCTGGGGAGGGGAAAAGAAGGAATCTATGAACTCTTAGAGAAAGACCCAGGCTTTTAGTTCCTTCAGTATTTGAAGTACATTTATACCCAAATGTTAATAAACACAAATGTGAAATACTCACTACCAATGTTTTCCACTTTAAAAATGTTTTCATGAGAAACGCGTCAAACACACGACTGTATTTGATTAGTGAAAAGCTCCATAAAGGCTCTTTCTTTGAATAAACACATTAAATGTGTCAAAACATTTGGAATGCCAGTCATCTCTGAGAAGATATCTCTTACAGAGCATATTTTGTTTTAATTAAGGTATCTCGGAGTATCTCCAGCGGACTAATTGCACAGTGGTCTGATTTGAGGTGATCCACCGTAGAAAGCTATTGATTACTTCTGCAGTGCACAGCAGCTTTAATTAGCTTCAGATGACCAGAGAGGAAGATGAGTTGCCGAGGCTAACAAGGGCAGCCTTCAGCGAACAGCGCGTGGATATAGAGCACACAGATTAAACTTTGAAAAGTTCCATCACTAACAAAGATTCTCGGTTGTTTTGGGGTGTTTTTAAGTTGATAAAACTATATTTAAGTTACCACATCCTCAATTCATCAATAAGTTATTAAGTAAACACGGGGATGGATTTGTGTTTCAGGGACAATATGTTAGAGAAAGTCTTATGAAACCAAGTCAGGCAAGTGGTCCTGTCATTTGGTGTGATCTTAGTTGTTCATAGTGACCCCCCCAAACAAAGTCACTGGTCCCAGGGCTGAGGCAAGTGAGTGAGTGCAATCTTTCACCTAGGTAACTTCTTCTTGGAGTATTAACAAGCAAAAGTGACTCATTACCTACTGTCATTCACTCCCTGTATTTTGGTGTCTCAAACACAGGGACCGTCCACTGAGAAGGGAATCTCTTGAAGGAAGGATCTAATAGTAGTTGACTTAGCTAAAAGTATGTCCATGGCTCTCAGATCAAATCTCACCCTACACTACTTTGAAAGGGAGAAAAGGCAATAATGCCACATTGATGAGAAGCACATTCATTTTGGTCTCAAATACTTTTTGACCAATGTGTGTTTATCTTTTTAATAGAGCACATGAGGTATGAGGTGCACAATAGGGAAAGCAGATTCAGAATGCCCACTGAGTATTTATTTTTCACATATCAGATTTCTCCCGGCCTCTAGGAGAAAAAGTAATGTTGAGAATGACACAAATTATTTTTCATTAAGTATCGCAGAGAGTGTGATTGAGTTCTGGTTTCCATTGTTTAGTGGTTTGTTGTTGTTTTTTAATGTCTTAGGTCATTGAGTAAAGGGAAGGAAGGGCTCATCCACAGCTGTGGTGGCTTTGATTGGTCTGTGCGGAGACTGTCCCAATCATGCATACACTCCAAGGATGGATCACCCCTAGCTGCACCCCACTTGGGGGTTGCCTCTTTGTCCCTTGGATACTCCTAAACACTCCATCTGAGGAAGGAGGAAAGTGGGAAAGCAAAGCATGGCTGTATCAAATGTTTGAGACAAGACATTGAAGACAAAGAGAGTGTATATAATTAGCAAATCTTTTCCTCAGAATCTGGCATAAATGTACTTCGGTTATTATTTACAGAACAGTGGCCACAGAGGAGCTGTCTTTTGGAAAATAAGTTTTCATTCATGTAGTTAGACATGCACGACTTGTTTGAGTCCATAAACCATGAGCCAGAAAAGAGCTGCTTAAATGGATGCACATTTTCTAATACTCTTTCAGTGCTGCTCTGAGTCTCCTGGATTCAAACCGCCATGATCTCTGTGGCTTTTGCGTCTGCTCTCTGCTGAAGCAGAGGAGACCATGAGAGCGCCATCTTTGTGAGGGAAACTATAAGCCACGGCAACAGATGGGAGTGAATGGCCCCTGGCCCAGGCCTCATAGCAGAAGGCCCATCTGCACTGAGCTTGGAGAGTTTGCAGAGATGAAGCAAAATCAAGGTGCAACCAGAGGCCATGTGCTGTAACTAGTGGGGCATGCGCAGTCCTCAATTCCCTACCGGTAAAGTACAACAGTTCTACCAAAACATCCAGCATTCCTTGAACTAGGGGGTCTTTCCTTTATACAAAGGAAGCCAGAGCTAATATCTGGATGACCAAAGAAGGGCATTTTGGGGGAGGTAGAAATTCTTAGATAAAACAGCTGGGGATTCGGTTGAAAACCCTTACAAGCTGCACTTTTCTCCAGAGACAAAAATCTCATGTATACATCTGGCTGAAAACCATCACTCAGTGCAGAGGCCTTCCATCTGAGGGCTTTGCCACCACGTCCTTCCCAGCAGGTATTCTGTGGGGTATTTCAGGTCCCTAGGACAGATATTGTGAGGTACTGGCTCATTGAGATCTCTGGTGCACTGATTATTTTTTTGGGGGGGTCCGGTGTTGGCACCTGAACTCTGGGCCTGGGCACTGTCCCTCAGCTCTTCAGCTCAAGGCTAGCGCTCTACCACTTGAGCCACAGTGCCACTTCCGGCTTTTTTCTTTTTG